CTGCCTTCCCCAGGTAGGGAAATCTCTCCTGGGTTGATTTGTGCCAACAGCTGAGTCGTTTAAATGGTGGGATTTATACAGGCAGGAACAAATTGGACACCTGTGTGGGGAAAGCGGAGTTAAAGCCAAAATACAAATCAGCCCCTGATTGTTCAGGGGTGGATCCTCTATTGTGCATCAAGGGCATTGTCTTGGGCAAGACAATTCATTTTCTGAGCTCTTCCTCAAGGGAGAAAAGCGGCATCGTCCTCCTCAAGCTCTTGTCAATGGTGCAGGGTGACAGTGTGTGCAGAAAAACCTTTCACATTCCAGCGTGTTTCAGTTTTGGTGTTTAAGCATCAGGTTTTAACAATACAGGAAGGGATAAAGCTTTAAAACCTGGGTGTTATCTAACATAAAGCACTCGCTGCTGTGGAGCATGGTGGGTTTGCAAGGACATGGGTTTGTGCACACGGCAGTGCTCCTGACTGGTTCTCTTTTTAGGATGCACTGGTCACGGACCGGAGGAGCACTGAGGCTGCAGACCCTGTCTTGCCTTGGCAAGGAGAGGTTTTAGGTGTTAACACCACATCCAAGTGATGCACAAAGATCCTGCAGCAATGGTGCCGCAGCTGAACTGCTGCAAACTGGAAAGGGAGTTACACCGGACCATGGTGCTGTGAATTCCTAATTCCTCAGCGGAGCAAGGCTAATGACAGACTCTTGCTCAGAAGAAATAAAACATGAGGCAAAGAGCCGAGGATGCGGGTGCTGATTTCCCTGAAGCAGTGGGATGGTCTGAGCTGGATGGAGGATGTGTGTGGGGCAGAGGGTGTTGGAGCTGTGGGGAGCCGTGGGGAGCTGTGGGGAGCTGGTGTCTCTGGGGTCTTGTGCTTCACCCAGCTGTGCACTCCACGCTCGGATCCTCGCTTCCCTTTTAATCGTACTTCAAAACCAGGGTAATGACTTAAAACCAAGCAAAGGAAGCAGCCAACAGAGACATAAGGGCTTGTTTGATCTTCCTCTGAAAGGAGATTAGGAATCAATTCCTAATAGAAAATGTTTAAGTGATAGTGCTGGAAGAAAAAGCCGGAAAAGAGCCGGGACCAGCTGCATGTAGGGAGTTGATGCCCCTGGGATGCACTTGGCAAGGCCAGATAGGAAGGGGCTTGAAGCAGGCTGCTCTACTGGAAGGTGTCCCTGCCCGTGGCAGGGGCTGGAACTGAAAGAGCTTTAAGGTCCCTTCCAACCCAAACCATTCGTGATTCTTTGATTCTCTGATGTTTCTCCCTGGACTGCACGTGCCAGCAGGCAAATCCATGAGGACAAAGCCAAGACCCCCCCCCCAGATGCCTTCCCGAAGCTGCTTCTGTAAGAGTGGAGCAGGAGGAAGGGGTAAAGCCCTTGATTCTTGGTGTAATGACCCCTGGCCATCCAGAACACACGGTCCCCTGGAGAGCTTCCCTCTGCGCTCCACCGCACACGAGCCTCAAGTGCTGCCTGGGGTTCTGCTTTTCAGTGCCAAGATTCAGAAGAATAAAACCTAAAAGCTGGCACGAGGCACGAAGTGAAGCCGCTGCCTCCGACAGCAACAGCAGATTCCAGCAGCTCAATTGAATGTGACCCCTCCTATGCAGCAGGTCAGCAAATAAATCCAGGGATTAATTGCTGCTGTCGATACAGATCTCTGCGGCATCCAAACATTTACAAATGTGAGCTCGGCGCTGGCGTGTCCTGGCTTGGCACCGGCGCCTGGGCCTTGTGCTGAGCAGCGGTGGGGATGCCTCTGGCTTGCTTTGCTTTGCTTCCAGCTCCATGCTCTGTGCAGCGACTCCGGCTTCTTCCAGCACCAGCCACACTCGAGGCAGGGTGTCCCCAGGCTGGCTTTGGCTCTGGACGATGCTCGCTCAGCAGCACCCAGCACATCCCAGCTCTGTGCCCGCAGCACCATGAGGGCTGTCCCTGTGTCACCCTGCTCATAACAGCGTTTTCAGAAAGGGGTTGAAATAAAGCCCCCCCGCTGCTGCTCATGCTCCCTCCTGCTGGCAAACCCTGGCAGCAGCCTCAGCCATGGCGCAAGGAGCAATGGAAGAGCAAAAGCAGCTCAGTCCTGTGCTGAGAGCAGAGGCACGGGCTGAGGGACAAGGGAGCTGTGCGGAGGGTTTCACTCTCATTTCACTCTACCTTATATTCAACCACTAACAGAGCAAACCGGCACTGAACTGGAAATGTCATTTAATTATTGTGAAAGGAAAACTAGCTCTGGAAGGCCAGTAAGTGGAAACAGCGGTGAACACAGGCCACATTGCACGTCTTACAGCAAGTAACGTGTCCTCTGCTCTCAGGGCAAGTCAGCTCCGACTTGATCCAGCCACTCGGCTGCAAATGCTCCATGTCCTCTGAGGACTGTAGTCAAGAAATCACAGTCTGCTCCTGACAGAGCTTACACATAGATACAGCAACCTGTTAATATCCATGCATTCATCACTGAGCTTATTAATTAATACGCTTTATTGGTTTTGTTAACATCATCTGTGCTGATTTTAAGGGGGATTTTAGCAATATCGTTGTGTTCAGTGCAAATAACCTGGAACTAAGGGATCGTTCTTGAGAATGTGGATATTGATGCTTCCGTGGCAGGGAGAGGGAGGCATTAGTGGGTCCCATTACGGTGCGTTACACAAATGGCATGTTCCGCTCATGGAGGGCATTAAATGGCTTGGTGCAATTACAGCCTAAGAGCTGCCAAGGGTAAGATAATGGACTGTAAAAAATGTATGTTTATTGAACTTTCCCTCCTTGTTTGGGTTTCTGCAGGGCTGAATCACCTCAGTGCTGGGTCGGAAGGTGCCTGTGGGATGAGACCCTCCTCAGCATGTGGCCGTCCATGATCAATGGGCAGCAGTAGCACTGATGTGACAAACCCCCCCAGACCCATTCAGCTGTGGAGCATGCTCAGCCCCCTGCACCAGCGCGTGGTGTCAGGCACCAGGGATGTTCCTCATCTCCCACTGATCCTGCTCCCGCATACTGCTCCCCTGTGTGCGCAGGGGAGGTGAGGGGCTGAGAGCTGACCCCTTCTGTGAGTGCTGGTGGATGCTGGCGAGAGGCAGCCCTCAGAAACCTGTCAAATCAGTGTTCCAGCACAATGCACAGGCTTTAAATCCACACTGGGTGAGGAGAGGCTGACACCGCTGCCTGTCCCCAGGTCCTCAGAGTTATTTGATCATCTCCCTAACAAAACACCCAGCCCTCCCGGAGCCACAGTGCTGCAGGCTAAGAAATAAAATCCCCACTAAAGATGCCACAATGTGGAACTGTATCATCCCTCATTACACAACGAGACGGCTTCAGATGCACTTTTCAGATGCATTCAGAATGTGGTTCGCTTTCGGCTCATGCCCAAGCTGGAGCCGCGGGGCTGTTCCCATGCGGTTGTGCTGGTGGCATGTTGAGCACCATGAGCAGCAGCAGGCAGGAACTGAGCCCAGCATCGCCTGTATGCGTTGTCCCAGTGCTCCCAACACCTTTAGATGGCTTGTGAAAGCACTGAAGCAGGCAGCATTGCAGGGGTTATCTCCTAACCCATAGAGGAATCCCAACACCCGAGATCTAACTGCAGCCATGGGCTTGTTTGTCTTCAGCTTCTAAACACAGGGTTGCAAAGGAAAGAGGTTACTTGGCCTCTTTCCCAAGCAGAAGCAGCAGGGCAAGGAAATGCTCTTCCAGCCCCATGGATGGTAGCAGCCGCAGTGGAACACCAGGGCCACCCAGAGCTGAAAACCAGCCGAGGGCTGGGAGGTGTCTGCAGAGACCCAAGGCAGTCACTGATACAGCACTTGGGATAATTGTTCTGCTTGGAATCTCATGCTCTGGTAATTATTACTCTCCTAATTTCATTATTCACAGTTGTGATAGGTACCTTCACCTCTCTGGGTTTCTCTCTCACACACAAACCTCTTATTAGCATTCCCTGCAATGAAATTATTCCCCTTCCTACAGCTGAGACAAGCCAAGCACAGGCTGGAGCACAAGAGCATCGTGTTGTAGTCACCCCTCTGCGGCTCCTGCCTCCTGTGTTTGCTGTGACACCACAAGCAGGGCCTCTCACTGAGCTATAGGACATGGGACCTTTCCCAAGGAGCACAGGAACCCAGCAGAGCTCCCACCCCACCTCCCCACTCCAGACCACACGGAGCTGTTTGAGCAGGGCTGTTTGATCTGCTTCCAAAACCAAGGAAAACTTCCCCTCTTCCACTTGGCCTTTCTTATGATCCATAAAACGCTGCTGGAGGCACAGGCAGCTGCTGATAGAGAAAAGTTGCAGCTGGTAAAGAAAAGTTAATGCAGTTCTGCGGGGTGGCAGTGACTGTGCAAGCACTGCGCTGCTGATGCGGGGATAAAGCACCGCTGCTGCCACTGATCCCGATCCCTGGGTGCCATGTGCCAGCCAGGATGTGCAGCTCAGGACCACGGTGGCACCCGTGGCTTGGGGATCATAGAAGCATGGAACAGGCTGGCTCCATTGCAAGGAAAAGGCTGGCCCATGGAGCACTAAGGGAGAGACCCAACTGCTCCAGCTGGCCACATTCCAACACAGAGCAGAGCCTTTGCATCCCACCCTGTGTGCAGAAGGCAAGGCCACTGAAGAAGGCAGGAGAGGGTTAATGGAAGTACCAGAGCAGCCTGATGAACCTCAGGTGTAAGGCTGCAAGGCTATAAAAGCTGCAGCTGGGAGGAAGGGCTCTGCTGAGGAGGGTGATGGCATGGTGAGCTGGTGGAGCATGCTTCAGGTGAAGGAGGTGAGGATGGAGCTCAAAAAGGGAGTCCCTGCAGCCCCCCCAAGCTTATGCCCATGATCCATCAGCTCCAAGGAACTGAGGAAGGGAAGGTATGAGGAGGGAGGGGGTGCATGGAAAACTAATTGCAGCTGCCCCTGGGCACTGTGGGTGTTGCAGGTATTGGAGATGGGGAGAAAACCCTGTTTTTTTAACAGCAAATTGATAACTTTGCAGCTCCAGAAAACACAGCAACCTGTCGTTGTGCCTCGCCATGCGGTGCTGGGCCACAGCCAGCCAGGCAGGGAACAGCATGAGCCCATGCAGCAGCAAGGATGGTGCCACAGCTTGAGGAGGACCCCGGGATGCTGGTGGTGGGTTTGATGCGATGTTTAACAGCAGCGTTTAAAAAGAGGAGTTGCCATGGCAACTGCTACCCGGGTTTCTTGTGCTTTGGCACAGGGAAGTGCTGGCAGTGTGTGTGCCCAGCCAGGGCACAGCGGTCCCGCTCCTCTGCCCATGGTGCCTGCTCTGCTCCAGGGCATCCAGAGGGTCCCCAAAGCCAAGCTGGCACTTAAGCTATGGCTTCCCTTAGCAAACCTTTCCCTGCTTTCCAGGCAGGAACTGGGGGCAGGAGCTGATGCTCTGAGTTAAACAGGGACCTGGTTCTGCATCATCCGGAACAGCTCAGTGGAGGGGACAGTCAGCAGCTGCCCTGAGCACAGGGCACGTGTCACCAGGGAGGTGACTCTTCATTTCCCACTTGTAACCTTGCATGCTGTCTTAATAGCTTAGTTGCTAACTAAGGCTAGATGTTTGGTAGTAATAAAAACAGTCCCTTGGTGGGTGGGGTTTCTTGGCACTTCATCTCGGTTCCAAAATGAATAATTTATATAAGGCTTTATTGGAGCCCGGAGTTATACAATAAATGTTCCATGCAAACACGCTCACATATTTCAATGTTAATATCTCTCCAGTGAATTTCCCTGGCAGGCCAAGCCAGTGTGGGATTGCCACATTGCTTATTTACGTAAAATATCATAATCTCACTTTTATTTGCTTTTCTGAAGTGCCATTAGGGTGATTTGGAGCATATGAGCCCAGGCAGTTCATTGCAGCTGCAGCTCCTGGGCCAGGCTAGGAAATGACTTTCAGGGCTCCAAGGTGACAGTTGGGTGCTGTGGGGACACGGAGCCCCTGGGGTGAAGCCCTGAGCATGGAGGTGAGCACTTGGGTCTTTTCATGGGGCTGGGTGTTTGTATGGGGCTGAGCAGATGGAGATGGGAACAGTGTGGAGCTGCTGAGCTACAGCCTGAGCCCATCCTCCTGCCCTGCTTTGGGCTGCAAAGCCTTGAAGGCAGCTTCAATCTGTGCAGGTCTTCAAGAGGAGGGTGGCAGCTTTTAGCTGGGCTACAACCCCTCCCCAGAGCACTGTGCTCTTTAGGGGTTTCTTCCCTTCTCAGTTAGGTGGAACTGTACTGAAGTGATTTGATTGCCTACATCCCAGTTGTAGCCTTCAGAGACTAATTACCTTCTTCCTGCATTTGCATGGTTTACACTCAAGTCAGTTTAAGGGCTATGTGATGTTTTGGAAGGAGATGTGAAACCGAGAGGCAAAAATCTTCTGAGAAGTAAATGGCTTGGAAGAGAGAGGCAAGAACAGACGTGTGGTGAGTGCAGCCGTTTCGAGATGGGCTTGATCCTCTTTCCCACCAGGGCTGGGATGGGGAATGATGGGGGGAAACAGCCCTCGGGTGAGCACTTGCCCCTGTTTCACCCACAGAAGTGGAGGTTTGTGCTCCTTCACATCCCTTCAGGAAGAAATGCCAGGCTCCAGCTCAGTGATGCTGTGCCTGTCTGCACCCAGCTGTCTGGCTCCCATACAGATCTGTGCTGCCTTTGCTGCTCACAGCACAGAGGCAGCTTTAAGACAGGCAAAAATGATTTCCAAGCTGCTGCTTTGTGCGCTGTCATCTTCAGCCCAGTGAAATGCTGCTGCTGGGGCTTTCTGATGTTCTCGGTGTGATTTGAGGCTCTTTCTAAAAGCTTGGGATTGTCCAGCCGCAGGTCTCAGGGATGGAGAGAAGGAAACGATCTCCTTGCAGCCAGGATACCTGCTGACATGTCTTCTGCTTCACTCTGCTCCAAAACAGGACATGGAAAGGATTTTCCAGGCATTGATGCCTGCCGCTCACCCCCCAAAGTCATCATTTTTAAGCACAATTCTCAGCTGCTTTTTCTTGTGTCCCTGTGAACTCCACCTGTAGCTGATGATCCAGTTCAGAGCTTTCCTTGCTCACAGGGCCAGGACTGATGGCTCTGCAGGCTGAAGGTGGTTGGGGTGTCCCTGTGCCCCGGCCATGCAGCCACAGCCCTCTGGGACCCGGCAGCTCCTGCTGCCAGTGGCTATAGCAGCTCTGGGGAATAGGAACTGAAAATGTCACAGGTGAGCTCAGCAGGAGAGTTCCCAATGGAAAGCAGCAATGATTGTTTGAGGGAAATGAATTGAATTTCTCTGACAACTACTTGCAGATCTAGGGAGTGAGCTCATACATACCTGGAAGAATTGCTTCAAAGAAAGCTTATTGTGACTGCTGCCACTTGTTCTGCTCCGTTTTCAGGTTATTTTGGAACTGCCATGAGCGGGGGAGCTGAGAAAGAGGAGTTCATTTCATCCCAAAGCAGGCGCAGCAGCAGCCGGAGCATCCTGGAGCACCACCACAGGCCCTCATTGTCCGGGCGTGCTGCTGCTTGGGCAAATTTAGCACAGAGCCAGTGGCTGCTTTAATAGGAGCGCTGCGATTTCAGGGGAGCTATAAATTTCTATTCCCCTGTAATTGCAGCAGCACACCTCGGTGCTGTTGCTGTAGCAAGAAAATGGTTCTCCCCAGTGCCCTGGGGACTTGGCAAAGATGCTGGCACAAACAGGATAATGAATGTTAGATAAGCAGCATGTTTCGCAGACTGAGCTTAAATATTGGAAGAGCAGCATCCCCACATCAGAGAGTAGTTTAACGTTATCTTAAATCTAGGGAATGTTTTCCCCTCTGCGCACTGGGATTTGCACCAGGACCTCACTTTAGCACTAATGGGATCTGGGAGTATGGAAGCTGTCTTAATGCACTGCGTGCCTCCTAGCTCTTGTCTAAGTAAAATGAGTTTGAATTCTTCATTTTAATCGCAGGCTTGTGATCTGGAATAGACATTCTTGTACTGAAAAGCATCCGCTTTTAGATCCATCCCTTAGGATACGCAATGACAAAGGCAGGTCCCAGTCCCTGCCTGTCTGTGTGTTCATGAAACACAGCTGTATTCCCGTGGTGGTTGTGTTGCAGCAGTCCCTGCAGCCAGCAAACCTCAGAAATGCCTCCATAAAGACCCCCCTAGCATGGACAGGGAAACTCAAACAAGGTCTTTTGTGCTATCATTCACTGTTTAGCTTGGAATGGTGTTTTCAGTGTGTGCTGTGGGGATGTGCCAGAGGCCCCTGCCTTGCACAGCCCCAGTCTGGGTGCAGTGGGTGGCTGGTGAGGAGCAGTGAAGGTGATAAAGGCTGGGTGGTAGCAAGTGGTGGAGATCCCCTTCCTAAGCCATTTTATACCACTCGGGACCAGGCTTCCCCGGCCTTAGCATCAATCGAAGGGTTTCCTTTGGCTATCACTGCTACCTTGTGAGAGTAGGAGAACTCTGAAGTTGCTGCTGTAGTGGAATAGAAAGTTATCTCTCACCCTGTAGGGATTTAGCAAAGATGCTGGCACAAAAATAGTTTGTAATGAGCTTTAAGACATATTAATGAAGAGAAGTATAATTATTACTACAGAGCTCAATTACAGCCCTTGGATTACAAATATTCTCCCACAATCCCTCCAGAAGGAAATGCATCTTGTCTCTGCAATTAAATAAACTGTATCAAGAGGAGGGAAGAGGATTAAACTACAGAAGAAAGAATTGCTTCAACTTGACTGTGGTGGCCCCTCTCATCCTCCTGACCAGCTACCAGCGCTCGAAGGAGAAGGATCCCTGCTCAGCACGGTGCCATGGCAATGCAAATATTCCTTAGGGAACTGGCGGTTGGCTTCCTTCCAAAGCGCTCGGCATCTGTAATGCAGCACTTGCCGTGTTAGGAGAATCTAATCAGCCCCTTCCTGCAGTATTTATGGCAGAGCACACCTGTATGTTTCTGCTCCGCGAAGATGCAGCCTCGGCACTTCTGAAGGGTTTTTTCCTTCCCTGCTTACTGAGCACAGAGACAAAATTGAGGCATTCACACGTTTCCCCCGGGAGCGTGACTGAAAGCGTGGAGCGGGGCGAGACGTGCGGCTGCACATGCAGAGCGGTGCCACGGGTCAAGTGCTGGCAAGTGGCACGCAGAGGGAAGGGAGCTTGGCCTCGGCAACGCAGGGATGTCAAGCAGAGGTGAGAACGATGTGGTCCCGAGGGAACAGCGAGATGTGGGGCTGGAATAGCTACTGATGAGCCTTTTAGCTTCTGGGCCGGAGAAGTTTGCCTCTGGAGAGCTCGGAGGGAAGGAGAAGCCAGTGTCTCGCTGTGTGCTGAGCCTTTCTCTTGCAGGGTCACCCTGACATGGCTGCTGGGTGGCAAAGCAGCAGGGTCAGGGCAGCTCTGCTGGCTTTGGCACCAGTGGGGGAGAGTCTGCTGCAGCCAGAGATGGTACAGGCAGTGCCCAGCCCAGTGCTGCTGCCATGGAACATAGTGCAGTGCAGGATGCTCCAAGCCAGCCAGAGCCAGCTAGTGTAGCTCCAACGACTGCTCTAACCCTAAAATCTACCCTGAAACCCTTCTGACATCAAAATGCACTGAGGCAAGCATGGGAGTGGAGGTCCTTGGGGATGCTGTGGCTGGTTTTCTGCAGGACATGGAGCAATGCCAAGCCTTGGGGAGGGTATGGACACACGCAGGGACCGTGAGCTGGTCAGGCACATTTCTGAGCACTGCCAGGGACCTTGGTGGCTTTTCCTACTAAGCAGCATGACAAAATCACAGCCATGTGTTGCAGCAGCCTCTCAAGCATTGCTATTGTCTGCACAGGACAGAACCTGCTATCTGAACACATTTCACATGCAGCCTGATTGTTGCTGAATCCGTCCTACCCAGCCTGGTTTACACACTGTTTCAGGGCTTGCTTTTGATCCCACTGGCTGTAGGACACTTGTTCATAGTGTGAACCCTACTGCTTTGTTCCTGCCAGTGTGCTACCCATGGGGAAGCCTTTGTCCGAATAATCTCAGATTCCCTAAGAGCAAGAGCTGCCAGCTTTGCTTTCTAGCTGGAGTGAAAGCAAGGAATACTGATTCTTCTATTCATCGGTGGTTTTCTGTTCATGTATCCTCACATCAAATCAAGTGTCAAAATAACATCCTTGGTCTGCAAGCAGCAGCTTTTGGCCACTCATGGCCATCTCAGGAGCAGATATTTAGTTGTAAAGAAAACCAGCAAGGGTTATTTAGTGAAGAAAATGTGATGGGAACAAACTAATGCAAAACTTAGCAGAATCTGAGAGGGCTGGAACTGCAAGAGCCACCCCTCTGAGTGCTGCAGCTCTGCCCTGTGCCAGGCATCCCCACAGCAGAGCCATTGCAAGCACTGGGAATACCTTGCCATAGACACTGCTGGGACAGATGCCACCTGGGTGGAGAATGCAGCCTGCATTGCCACACACCAGCCCTGGGAGCCAAGGAGAGTGGTGGCAAGATGTGGCAGTCGGGTTCGTAGCTCTATGAGTCAATAGAACACTTCTAAGCTCTTTGCTTTCTTCCTGGGTTTCATTTAGTTCCAAGTCTGTTCAAGTATTAAGCACTATCAGTGCATGCAGAAAAGAGCCCCAGACACTCGCTGCTTGTGGAGGAGCTCTTGGCTGAAGTCTTTGCTCACTTACATGATTAATCTGTCTGTGAAGTGCAGCTATTACACCCTGAATAGTGCCTGGACAGTCGTGCAGCATCTTCCTCACAGCACGCGAGCAGTGCAGATGGCAAAGCTCCGAGCTGACCCTGCGAGGAGGTGGAAGGTGACTTCGGTGCTGTGTAATGAGCTGCTCCTGGAAAACCAGCTTCAAGAGAGCAAGCAGACAGCTCTGGATGGAGGCATGCTGCATGCTGGAAATACTTAACCAGATTGTAATGAAGATCTGGCTTCATTGCTGGAGTCTCATAGGGCTGATAACTGAATCATTCCTCTTGCACTGAAGTCCCCAGTTGGAAGGAATGCATAAAGGCACAGCATTCTAGGACACTGGAGCAGTTGTCTTAGCGTGAATCCTGCCAACGGAACAATATTGCTTGCTGTTGCATGAACAGAACATGTCTCCTCTGATTGTTTTTCCCTGCTCTTTTGAGATAGATGCTGTCTGAGGATCCCCACTGGTAGAAGGTCTTCTCTGAGGTACAGTTACAGCTCTTTACACGTAACCTCTGGCATTGGTAATGGAGGGTAAAAAACCAAATCTAAGTGCTTTTTGGGTGAAGCTTGCTCCTCTCCTGGAAGGTATTTGTGACACTGGACAAGAGACTGCCCTCAGTGGTGCATTCCATGGTCCTGTTCTAGGGTGCTTCAACTGTCATTATCCCTTTTTAATTTGGGGAGTTACTGAACTGTGATAACATCCCTGGAGTGGTGCCTGGGAGGGACCAGGGAGAAAGGTGCCTCTTAGGAGGATGCTGATGGCTTTTTGTGCTGCTAAGAAGGTGCTGCCTGGCCCAGCCACCTTCTCCATGTCAGACTGGTGACTGCTGCTGGGGACAGCCCCCCTGCTTGGGCCAGCTCTGCCCTTGGAGGTATCATTCATTTGCCTAGCAACTGGTGACTCTTGGGAGCCAAGAATTGAATTGTTGAGGTGCTATAAGCTTTATGTATTGCATTACCCCAAGGTAAGTGATAGAAAAGGAGAGTTAATCCTGTGATAGAGAGGGGAAGTGCCACTGCGGAGCAATCATTTCAAAGGCAAACAGAAATATTTATAGGCTCGGGACTGTGAAACTTGCCGCTGCACTCTGACACGAGATGTGCTGCTGATGCCCGGAGCAGCACTCGAGGAGCGGGCTCTGACAGTCACGCGGGCTGCAGCTCTGCTGAAGGTAAGTCTCAGCTCGCACTGGGTCCAAAAGCATGTGCTGATGTGGTCAGCTTGGGTAAGGTGTTGTAAAATCGGAACTGAAAAGGATTTTCAGCCCTTCAGAATTCCCGTGTGTGTTGTTTGGTGATGACCTGTGCAGTGATGGCGGCTTGCAGAGATGTCCCTACCCCAAGGCACTGCACCACACCACCAGCTCCAAGGGAGCGGGTGCCCCGTATCACAGAATCCCAGACTGGTTTGGGTTGGAAGGGACTTTAAAGCTCATCTAGGTGGCAGGGACACCTTCCACTAGGGCAGCTTGCTCCAAGCCCCATCCAACCTGGCCTTGAACACTGTCAGGGATGGGGCAGCCACAGCTTCTCTGGGATTCCCTGCAGCTCCTTCAGGCACTGGAGCTGCTCTCAGGTCTCCCCTTCAGGAGCCTTCTCTTCTCCAGGCTGCCCCAGCCCAGCTCTCTCAGCCTGGCTCCAGAGCAGAGCTGCTCCAGCCCGTGCAGCATCTCTGTGACCTCCTCTGTACTCGCTCCAGCAGCTCCACATCCCTCTTGTGTTGTTGCCCCAGAGCTGGGTGCAGTTCCCACTGCTAGCAGGGACTGACCAGTTCTGATGGGAGCAGGAAGAATTTTCTATTACCTGCAGACAATAGAGGGAAGAAATGAATTCATTCCCATCCCAAAAGCAATCTCTGCAGGCGGGTTTTGAGGCAAGTTTCCAACCATTTTCCTTTGAAAGGAGACCACCAAGCAGGCTTTAAAGAATCCTTTATCTTTCTAGCAGCAACATAATGGTGGTGGAAATTTAAACTTCACCATCAAATATTTATCCTATTACAGTGTCTTAAGTAATTTAAGCTGCTGAAATCAACACTGTGGTTTTATTTTTAATGAGCCTTGTGTAAAACAGCCCCTTCGATCATTGTCAGGTGCGTGTGGAAGAGTTGCATTTACTCAAAGAATTTTCAATCTCCCTGAAGAAACTCTGTTAAATAATGCACAGCACTTAACAAAATGTTACCTGTCACTGGTGGCAAAGCTGGCTAGGGCTGGGCAAGCCTGGCTTTGCTGGGGGTTAACAGATGAAGGGGGTCTTTTGGGGTTGGTTGGGAGCTTCCTGGGGGAGGCTGGTTGTGTTTTAATCTACCTAATGGCAAGAGCACCCTGGGTCTAATTTTGGATGGGGCTCAGCTTCGTGGAATGCAGTGGGTGACGGCAGGGTCAGGCTGGGTGGTTTCTCTGCCTGGAGCCAGCGGAGAGCTCACAGCTGGGCTGGCGGAGGTGGGGAAAGGCTGCGGGTCGCCGAGGTCCCTCCGGGCAGGGCAGCACGGGCTGTCCGAGCTGCTGGAGCCGGGGCCGCGGGCCGGGCGGCACCGCCGGGGGAACACTGACCCCCAGCGCCCGGCAGCGGGAGGAGCCGAGCCGGGCTGGAGCCGCGGCGTGAACGGAACTGAAGCACCGCGCTGCAGCAGAGCGGGAGGGGGAAGAGTTGGTGTGACCGCAGCTAAAGCGGCTGCTAAATGAGGTCCGGAAAAGCTCTCTGTAAGCTGCCGCTGTGCAGCGGCGAGGCTGAGGTGCCGCAGCCCGTGTAATCGGATTCCCGGAGCAGAGGTAACGGTCCCGCGGGATGCTCTGTGCTGGCAGAGATTGACCTCCCTTTGGTGAAACGCTTCAAAAATTGATGCTGCTCAGTGCAGCTCAGGAACTTGGAAGGGAAGGAAAGCTTGGGCAAAGCGGCTGCCTGATACAGAATCCCAGACTGGTTTGGGTGGGAAGGGACCTTAAAGCTCCTCCAGCTCCAACCCCTGCCACGGGCAGGGACCCCTTCCACTGGAGCAGCTTGCTCCAAGCCCCTGTGTCCAACCTGGCCTTGAGCACTGCCAGGGATGGGGCAGCCACAGCTTCTCTGGGCACCCTGTGCCAGCGCCTCAGCACCCTCCCAGGGAAGAGCTTCTGCCTAAGAGCTCATCTCAGTTTCCCCTCTGGCAGGGTAAAGCCATTCCCTTGCCCTGTCCCTACATTCCTTTGTAAAGCATCCCAGAGATCATTAGGAAAAGTGGGTTTGTGCAGCAGTAGGGGGGGGTGATTGATATCAGCAGGGCCTGACACTTCCAGCTGGACCTCCTGTAGGAGGTCATGGCCATGCAGCTCTGCAGGCAAGCATCCCAACTTTCTGTATCCTCTGCTTCCAAGGTGTCCCTTAAGGATTTCCATTAATGACTTTCATAGTTTTTCCCCTTGCTGCTCTTTCCTGCAAAGCCTATGTACTCTGCTCAGTTGTGTTAATTTCTTCAGATACTGGCTTTCCACGTTTGGTTCTTGATAAGATATTAGGAAGAAATCCAAAATAACACTTGAGGAGAGATTTCTCACATGGCAAGAATCAAGTTTCATTATGTGTCATAAATTCCTTGCTATTCCCATGTCTGTAACTCCTCAGTAATGAAAATGAAGGTCTCATTGGTGCAAAGCTGTCCAGGACAGCCACATCAGAGGGTGGCAGACCCCCCTGAATGCTTGGGTTCCAGCTCGGCTATCAACTCATCAGAAACTGAGCCAGGAGACTTTTGGGAGCCCAAAACAGGCCCTTTGCAGCCACTACCTGAGTTGGCACAACACCGTCATTGCAGGAGAGAACAACCACTATGAACTTGTGTCCTCGGATTATCCTGCCAGCACTGGCTGTGCCGAGGAGGGAGGATGCTGCAGCGCGGTCCAGGCAGGGAGCGAGGCTCCCTGTGCCAACCAGTAGGAAGCGGATCCTCCTCCTGCTTTCTCCCAAGTGCTGCTAATGAAGCATTCAGCCCCTTCACTAAAAATAAGGCTCCCATAGCAGGAAAAGACCAACCGGCGTTCCCGCTGGATGCCTGTTTACTTTGGTAGACCTCGCGTTCCCCAGTTAACAGCCGCTCTGTTTGCAGGCAGCGCGGATTTTGGCTGCTGTCCCTGGCATGTTGCTGATAGTTATCCAAATGAACCGGGAGGATTGTAACAGACAGGGACACTGGTGCAAGTGACAGGCGCAGAGACAAGAGCTGCGAGAAGCTAATTTACACATCGAGTTTCACAGCCTGAACCTCCCTTCCTGCTCAACAAGCTCCTCAGCTGCCGCTTTGTACCCGCCAGCAGCTTTCATACAAATAAGGGAGCTCTCAAAATCTTCCTTTTTGCTGCCTGCTTAGACAAGAGATTCTAATAAAAACCCCTCTTAATATTGTTGAAAATAAGTCCTCTTTTATGTGGAAATGTGGGCTTAATGTAAATACTTTGTGCTGCTCTGATTCCCTTTAAGGCCTGCGTGGCTGGTAGCAGTCCCCGTGCAGCCTTTCAAGTGGCTCAGGAGGCTCAGCCTGCCGCTGGGATGTGGGCTGGTCTCGGGGGGGAGCTGCGCCCTCGCAGCCCTCTCGGCACTGTGCGACTGTTGTTTTCTCCAAGAGGGATCAGCTGGATGGGGGGAAAGGCAGCAGCATCTGCAGTGAGGGAATTGGCACCGCTTTCCCCCTAAATAATGTGGTTATAGGGGAGAACGTGGTGAAGGTAGTAGAGGAGGTGTGCAAGGGAGCCCTGGCATCTTGGCTTCCCCCATGGAAGTGTCCAAGGCCACCCTGCAGCCTCAAGTGCTCGTGGTCCTTCATCTCCACCACTATGTGCTGCCACACACTGTGTCCACACAGACATGATGCTGCTGTAGGGCTCAGCCACCTCTCCCTCACCACTCAAATCGATTTTACAGAGCATAAAGAATGGGAAACGTACAGTGTTGTGGAAAGTATTTATTAAGATCTTCACCATTTAATTTTCCTTGCTATTTTGAGGTCATGGAGGAAATTAAACCAACCACCAAGCCTTCCAGCTGCAGAAACACTGTTCTTCAGCCCCTTCTGGTCCTCTCCTCTTTACGAGACAGTGTAAGTTTTCAGTGCCCAATAAAAGCAATCATCTGTATTCCGTGGCTGCAAGCAACTGCACTGGCAGGGAGCGGAGCAAGTCGAGAAGCTTTCGGAGGAGAATACGAATTATCTTGGGCAGGGAACACAGCACAGAAGGACCCTTGAGCACCAGGAGATATTGCAGCGCAACCCATCAGGTGTTCTCCAGCACGCCGCGGTTGAACCGAGAGACTTTCTGCTTTTGAGCAAAAACCTCTTACTTGAGTATTCCCACGGGGCCGTTCTTGCCACTTAGCTCAGCCATTTAAATGGCTGCTCATGGGTTTTTTAAGGCCGGGATGAGTGGACAAGCATTTGATGAGCTCAGCTGGCTTGAGGAGCACAGGTAATACCCTCCAGCCGCTGAGGCTCGTGGCTCTGCAATGAGCAGGACCATTAAAGGCTGTTATAAAGAAACAACCTCCTGCACCCTCAGCTACACAGAATTACAAAAGTCCCCCCAGCGTCCTCAAAGCATGGAATTAACAGAGGAGAGCTGTAGTTTAATGTGATGGATGGAGCCCCCGGGGCCGCTGTGTCCCTCCTCTGTCAGGGCATGTTTCTCACAACGGGCAAGCACTGCTTCGCCTGATAAAGTGCAGATAATGACACCCTTAAATCCAGGCGTTGGGCTGCTTCAGAGCCATGGAATCAACAGGGTTGGAAAAGCCCTTTCAGCTCACCCCGTCCAACCATTCCCAGCACTGCCAAGCCACCACTGCCCCATGGCACTGAGGCCTCGTCTCCACGCTGTGTGAACACTTGCAGGGCCGGTGCCTGCAGCCCTGCCCTGGGCAGCCTGTTCCAATGCCTGAGCACCCTCTGGGGCAGGAATTGTTCCTCAGCTCCATCTAAACCTGCCCTGGTGCAGCTTGAGGCCGTTTCCTCTTGTCCCATCCCTTGTTACATGGGAGCAGAGCCCAGCCCCTCCTGGCTCCATCCTCCTGTCAGGCACTTGTAGGCAGCCATCAGGTCCCCCCCGAGCCTTCTCTTCTCCAGCCTGAAGCCCCCAGCTCCCTCAGCCGTGCCCATCACACTTGGGCTCCAGGCCTGCACCAGCTCCATTGCCCTGCTCTGGCCCCGCTCCAGCCCCTCAAAGTCTCTCTTGTAGTGAGGGGCCAGAACTGAACACAGGATTCGAGGTGCAGCCTCACCCGTGGGACAGGGGGACAAACACTGCGCTCATCTCCTCATCCTCATCCTCAATGAAGATGTTTCTGCCACACGGGAGTCCCTCTGCTATCGGCAGCCCTGGAAGTTAAAGAGGGATTTGAGTTACTGACATTATTTGCTCCCTGAAGGCTGTGGAGATGAACCGAGAGGCATCTCTGAATAGTAACACCCTGGCCGCACACTCTGGAGCGGGAGCAAGCCCTGCTCCAGAAGGAAGCCCTGAAACGCCCATCCCCTCTAGAGCGAGGAGGCAGAACTGCTCCGCAGCAGAAGCCCATTAGGCAGTTTGGAGGCAAACTCCTGTTCCCAATCTGCTAACGCGTATTTAACGGCGGGGCAGGGCAGGCTCCCCGCGCTGTCCTCAGGCTGTGCCCCGCTTGCGGCCAGCGGGGACCCGGCCTCCCTCCGCCCGGCGGCTCCACAAGATGGCGAGCGCGGGCTCCCCCGCCCTGCCCAAGATGGCGGCGGGCGCCCAGGCGCGGAGCGGGAGCCGCACCGGGACCCCCGGCTCGGCCCTCCCGGGGCGGCGGCGGCGGGAGCGGCTGCTCGGGTACCGCGCGGAGGGGTCCCTGGAGGGCGGGAGCCCGGCGGCCGCCTCCGCTCAGCCCGCGGGGGAAGCGTCGCCTGCGGCCCGGCTCCAGCAGCGGGGGGGCCCCCAGCCGCCAGGCCAGGTAGGAGCGGGCGGGCTGCGGGGCCGGGGGTGCGGGCAATGGTTAAGGGCCGCAAACGGAGCAGGGCCGTGAGGGAGTTACCTGGAGAATCCACGTCAGTTCGTCGCCTTTCTTCCCTCCCCACCACTTCGTTACGCTCCTGTGAGCGTGTTTGTGTGCTCCAGGGCCAGCTCTGGAGTTTTTTACCGTTTAAAAGCCGGCGATGGGATGTTAGCCTAGCAATAGTCCGTCCCGCTACATTAATTGCCATCTACAGCGTCCCCAGGAAAACATGGAAATGGTGATTAGCCACATACGGTGCTGGTTTATGCTTTGAGAAGTAACTTGCTCCTGGCGGTGGGCTGTGCCGTAGTGCAAGCTATCTGCTGCTCTTTCATACTGTTTCTCAGTGATGCAGCTGTGCATCAAGGTGCTGCTCAAGCCCTTCAGTTCCACATCCAGCCTTGCAGCTAAAGAGATAGGATGGTTTTCTTTATTTCAGTTAAGCTTTGGGATCTTATCCCTTCTTCTACCACTGCTCTTCACAGAAAGCAGCTGAGAGACGACCCTCAAAGAGGCTAAAAACCAAACACCCTGGTCTAGTAAAATCTGAGCTAGGACTTCCACGTGGAAGGGGAGCCCTTGCTGCGTTGGTGGAAACACCTCCAACAACGGATGGGGATCAGTGTTCAGAGGATCCAGGAGACCATGCTGTAATTCAGCAGCAAAAAGGTGAAAGCATTCCAGAGACTAACAGAGAGGAACAGGAAAAGGAGCATAATGCATCTCACAAGCCACGTGGGGTGAAATCAAGAGATGCTCCATCAGAAACGGACAGTGGTGAAGGTGCGCATGCTTGTGTCTGCAGCGAAGAGAGCAGCTGTGAGAGTGCACTTTCTGATGGGTCTGGCTCGGAGGACACTGCTCTCCCAACGAAGCCGATGCGACTGGACAGCAGCACCTTCTGGGATGAAGACAGCAACCAGCCGATGCCCATGGACCGGTTCTTTGGAGATGTGGAGTTTTTGCGGGTGAGATGATGACCGACCCTGTTCCATGATGAGGTGATGCTCAGCTCTGTTCCACTCCAGTCTCGCAACTGCAAACTAAATTAGGCTGGACTTGTAGTTATCTGATATCGTATCCCTGTCCCCTAGAGAGAACTGTCTTAATCAGAGCTGGAAGTAATTGCCCAGCCAGATTAATTTCAGATGTAAAATCTTTTGTATTAAATTCTTTAGTCCAGTTCTATAAGACAGGTATTTTTACTCATAAAGACATACAGAGCTGTACCATGGAGACAGGGTGTTATTGTCACAATGTTTTCTCACTGTGTGTTGGTGCCTGGTGTATCAGCTGCGGCAGGATGTGAACCTTTGGGGAGGCGGGAGCTCTGCCATTTGCCACAACAGACTTTCCTCACTGCTTTTATCCTTTCTTTAAAGGATCTCCCAGCAGTTGCTCTCCCAAGCACAACGATGAGCAGGCGAGAACTCCGAAAGCTCCATTTCATTGCGAAGGAAGAGGAGGAGGAAGAGGATGTTGTCTAACAGCAAAGTGTAAATAAACTAACCCTTTTCTCATTGCAACCACGTGATGCTGGTTGGCTGTTGCTAACATAAGGTGTCTGCGTTTGCCTTTTCTCAGAGAGAGAGAGAGGTGGTGGAGTTTGTTTTCCTTGAGTTGGCAGATAGAGGATTCTCCCACAGTTGTCTGGGGCTAAGATTGACTGAATTGTCAGTGATTTGGAAAGAAATTGTAAGTTAGCATTTTACCACTAAAGTTTAGGAAAAAAACTGGGAAAATGGAAGCTCTCAGAGCTTGCTTATGATTTTGAGGTCCTGCCTAGGATGAACACTTGGTCTCACTCCTTTTTCAGAAATAGCCAATTAAACCAGGTGAGAACAAGTTCCTTTTGCTATGAATTCTGTGATGTCTGCCTTTGTGGCATCCTGTTAGTAATGCAGCCAGTTGACTCCCCAGAACCAAGAGGGACACCAGGCTCTGTTGTGTGTGCTGCACTGTTTGTATCTAAACCAGAACCAGTTAAACCTCCGAAATGCTGTTCTGCTGGTAAAGCTAAATACATGGATTCAGTGTGAGGGCAGCTATGGTAATCTCTGGGAGTCAAGTAGTTCTTGTTGCATGTCAGTTCTCTTAATAACCACCACATAAAGCTGGCTGCCTCCCTCTTCCACCAGAGCAGCTGTGAGCAGTGCCTGTGGCAACATAGGCAGTATTTTCAGTTGACTTCCCAGGGTTAGGAATAGGGATTTTTGTATACAAATGCATCAGTGGTGATAAAGGAGGAATAAAACTGCTCAGTGTGAGGCTTGATCTGTAGGTGAGTGAGTACTGCCCGCTAAAGATGGGGGGCAGCCCACCACATTTGTTGTTCTAGCCTGCATTTGTACCCAGTAATGAGTAATTTCAGATGGTTTGAGGACTGTGAACTCCCCCAGTGTTTATGATAATACATCTTCAAAAGTGTGATTATGCGATAAGCTCCCAGATCTTTATTGTTACAGTTTCTTCTCCTTTTCTATAAAACATAGAGAAAATGTTATCAGCAGATGGTTTAAATAAATATTAATTTCTACAGCTACAGCCTGTTAAACGTTCAAAAGTTGTAAGTCAAACAAATTGTATATGCATGACATGTTAATTTATTCACATTTCCACTCCAGCTGATGCATTGTTTCTGTCAATGATATTTCTTGGCTCCTTTTCACTCTTAATTCTTTAACACAGAAAAACCTAATTTTTTAATAGCATATTCATGGTTCTCAGCACAACTCCAGCTTGAAGCAGCTCTCCCAGCCTTCCTTAAATGCTCTATTTGCTGCTGTCTCTTTCTAGCAAATACGGCTTCGCACACAGACATTTGGGGTTGTTTCAGCACTGTGCAAAACAGTGATTCTCAGTTTGTAGGAAGTGCACCCTACAGATGACAACTGTTTTGTTATCAGGGTCTTAGCTGTGATGCCATCCCCAATGTCAAGCCAGTGCAGTGAGTGATTGTATCTTGGGTACCAGTAATGTATAGTCAGTAAGGTAATATGGAAGGATTGATTAAGTGCATTGGTGTTAAAAATCCTGCATTTAAAATGCTCCTACTTAAATTTTATATTGAAATGTTTGAGGGGGCTGGGTTGTTGTTTGCAGTTGCTAGTCTCTGTAGTAAAGCTCCTGCATTTCCAAGACATAGTAGGTCATGGCTCACCCATCAGTTACACCTCTACACTGTTCTGTGTGGACTAGCTTGGATTTACTCAGGTAGGGAAGAGGACCAACAATATGGGGGTAAAGAGAGTGAAGTTATTCACAGTCAGCAGCTAGTGCTCTACTAGCAATCTCCCTGTGCTCAGCCTTTCCACTCTGAATTGCCATGCTATGTTAGACCTCATTAACCACTCCTGCTCCTCTGCCTCCACATAACACAGGAAAATGGTGTCAATTTTTTAATTTGAAGAAATTCCCATCATTTACACTGACAGTCCCTATAAATTCAGTTGCTGTCAGCTGGTACTTAAAAAAAACAAGTAAAAATTGATCCATTTGTATTTTGCTACCTGAGGTAGGAAGTGTTTTACAAAGGCAGTATTCTCTGGAGCACCAGGTAAAACTGATTATGCAGTTACTTTCCTTGTGTTGCTTCAAGCTACAGAGGCAGAAACAGAAAGAGAGAAACCAGTGGGGAAGATGCTAAAGAACCAAGGTGGCAGAAGCAAAGATGTGCCATGGCCTTGCTCTTCAGCAGCAGAGTGGTCATGCATGAGTGTGGGTGTTTCAGCACAGACGAGCCAGCAGCTCTGTCACTGAACCACCCTTTAGCATACCTGAAATACAGTGGTTATCACCTGGAAAAGGCATGGAGCAGAATAATTATCCTGAAGTACTTTGTTTGGCTTAAAGTTCAGAGAAATGCACATCTAGCATTAGTTTTTTGGACCTATGTTTGTCATGGCTAGAGAGGCAGTAGAGCTTAATCCCTGTCAGCCTCTGGCCTCAGTTTTGTACTGACTTGCATCTGTATTTTAACAGTGTGATGGAAGGCAGGCTTGAAGTGAGAAAGCAGGAAAGCAGAATTATGCATGAGGTACCTGTATGCTTTGTGAGATGGCATCTGAATTACTTGGCAAGTCCCTTTTGGCAGGGACTCTGAAATAAGTCCTTTAGCAAACTAGAGCTGTTCAAAACCAACATGATTTTGAAGGAAGCAGAAGTCACTTCCAGAGATGCACTATCAAATCCTGTGGTTGTGCTTTCTTCTCCTGTAAATTTTAGTTTTGTCACAGCTGAGGTTATGATTGGTTTTCTTATGGCACGCAATATGTACAAGTTTTAAATTATCCACAGTAAACAGCAGCTGATAGAAGTATTCCCAGTTCACTTCCCTTCCATCTTGTGTTTTGACAGCTTCTGCCAGTTCTGGGACAACAGCACGTTTCTTCTCTATTCTTCAGTGCACAAAAGAGAAAACAATATTGCTGTTAAAGGCTTTTTTTCATAATAATTGAGCATCCATCTTCCTTTCAGAAGCAGGCAGAATGTGAATTCCTTCACTGTAACTAGGCTTCCCAACCCGAGGAAATATAGCACATCCTGTTTGCTTCACAACTGCACAATGTCTGAAAACAGGTCTGAGAGTTTGCCAGAGAGGAGTCCCCACAAAGGGGGACGTAGTGAGGAGGGGTATGTTCTGTACAAGAAAAATCTGAACAGAAGCAAAGCAGCTAATGGGAGACAGCATCATCATCTGCCTTCAGGACTTTATGTCATGAGAAGCAGCTGCAGCACCCAAGCATCTTTTATCACAGTGCATTCCTCATGGCAGAGCTAATTGCACAGTGGGGTGAGTAAAGACTCTGGCTGTTCCTTTCCTGCCTAAGATGAAGGGTAGTTTGGATTAATACTTTGTACATACATGTGATCAAGATTCCAGGTACTGAAGATGATTCTGCTCTCCCTGTTACTGTAGGGGTTGATGGAATGCTTACACGGGCAGTCATCTCTGTCGAAGGGTCCCTATAAAACAAGAGGGTGCCCTGCTCATCACGACTGACTCAAGATAGATCACCCACATCATTGCCCTCCCAAGATCATTATCACACTGCGTGCACATCCAGCTAACTCTGTCCTTCCTCTACTGTAAGTCAGAGTGCTGCCTGCTGGAACCAAGACTCTGCTTTAGAAAGGGCTGAACTCACCTGACAAGAGAACCACCCCTCTGTGGTGCACAGGCGGGCTGCTTCCTCCTCCTCCCTTCTGTCAAAGTAGCATCCATTGTATTTCACAGATTTCAATTTATCTGCCATCATGTTAATGATCCTTTTATACTCATCTCTTGCTGTAGGATGAACATTTGAAATAAAGCTGCTAACCTAGAAAAGGGAAAAACCCCAAACCAATCATTCCTTGGTGCCTGTAGCAGCCTGAAGCTCTTTTCTACAATCGCTATGTCATACTATAGAAGTCTTTTATATGTGATCACAGAATTAACTTGCATCTTGAAAATAAGCTACTTCAACAGAACCTTTTACCTCTTTCATGTAGCTCCGTATTCTGCTTTCACAACTGTATCGCATGTAGCTTGACTTGTTCTTAAAGCGAGACTCTAGACCTAAAGGGAGTTAAGTGTGTTGTAACTTAGTTACTGTTAGTGCAGGGCTTCTGCCTTCCCCCTTCCTTCCAAACTCCCTATGTGCAGATGTTTTCGTTCTATTTTTGCTTTACTGGGTCAGGACTACCCTGCTCTTAGCATTTAAAAGCCCACCCAGAGCACCAGCTGAGAGCAGTAGCCGATATTATAGTTGTTACTTGCTAAAGAGATTGTGAAAAGAAAGCAATTGTTCAGGAAGCACCACAACAACGACTTGGGAAGGGGAAGTGCAGCTTGTGAAGGGGGTTGAAAGAAAATGTAAAGGAAGGTTAGCTGGTACCTGCAATTAGCAGGATGCTGGTAGCAAATCGTTAAGAGATTGTAAATGCACACCTGTACTAATGGGGAAAACAATGTATTCCAGATGCTCTGTTGGACAGAGCAAGAGGGAACACTGGAGTAGTTTTAGCCATTTTTCTGATGCTAAATATGCATATCCTGTACGGAAGCCTTGAAAATGTGATCACCGCTCCCCTGACAGGGTACCAAACCGCTCCAGCCAGAATTGCTCCCACATTTTTAAGCTATGATAGAATGATTCTACTTCAAGAACAGCAGGACTGACAGAAGTGCCTACAGCAGCTCCCTGCAGTCACCAAACGCACCTTCAAACCACTTCTCATCCTCTTCCTTGTCCTCGGCCAGGATGTTCTCGCTCAGGTTGTGGATGAGATCCGCCAGCAGCCTCTGCCTCCTGGGAGCCCGCTCATCGCTGAGCAGCTTCCGAGCGGCCTCCACCACGGCCTCCCGCTGGGTGCAGAAGGCGGCGAGGAACCGCTCGATATCGCTGGCACCTGCGGTAAGGGCGAAGCGGCGCGGGCTGAGCGGCCGCTCCCAGGCACTACCCCACCGCCCGGCCCCGGTGCACTCACAGCCGTGCCACGTCTCCCCCGGTCCCAGCAGCACCAGCTCGCTCTGCGGCGGCAGGGCGCGGAAGTAGCCCTCGGTCAGCTCCGTCCCGTCCTCATAGAGGCAGAGGCGGCTGCCTGGCAAGGGAAGCTGCCCCGCGGGCGGGTGAGGCCGGGCCGGACCACTGCCCCGCGCCGCGGCCCGCGGCCCGCACCTGCAGCAGCCGGCAGCTCTTCCGGAGCAGCCCGCGCAGGCTCCCCGCCGCCACCCCGAACTTGCGCGGGGCGCAGCGCCCGCGCACCCGGAAAGCGCGGAGCGGCTCCGCCATCCCCCGGAGCGGCTCCTCCAGCCCCCGGTGCGGCTCCTCCAGCCCCCGGAGCGGCTCCGCCAGCCCCCGGAGCGGCTCCCGCCGCGCAGGCGCCCCGAGAGGAGGAGACGGCTCCGGCCCGGGGCGGCCGGACGCGCATGCGCGGCGTTGGGCGCGGCGTTGCCATGAGAGCCGGCGGCGGGGCCGCGCTGAGGTAAGTGGGGCCTGCTCCGGCCTGGCCGTTTCCCCCTTGCTCCTCCGGCCGGGCCCCGAGGCTTTGTCCGCGGCCCGGCCGTTCCCCCGAGCCGGCGGAGAGCCGCCGCGGCCTGTGCTGCAGCGGCCGGGGGTAGCGGGAGGAGGAGGAGGAGGAGGAGGGAGGGGGCCGAAATTGATGCTGTGCTAGCACTGCGGTACCGGGGGTAGGGCTGGCGGTGGTCCCGGGTGTTTGTCTTTCCCGTTGCTCCTTCCCTGTGCTGCCCGTCAGCAGCCCAGGTGTGTGCGTAGCTGTGGAAAGGTGCTAAATTGACCCAGTTCTTCATTATTGCTTAATTTATAACTTCGGCTGTTACACGAGTTAGCTAACCTCTCGTTGTGTGAAGTGCAAGCAGAATGCTCAGCATGAGAACATGGTGTGGTTTATGGTGCTGATATTATAAAGAAAACTTAATTTGCCATCATCATCTGCTGACTCGACAGCGCATGGGACTTAATGCTTTCACTGCAGTGTTTCAGTGTTCTTCTCTTGCCCTTCCAGGGATTACCTTAATCTTGAAACACTGTGGCTTTGACTGGCTCACGTCTGCAGGATGCCCCACAAGATCGGGTTTATAGTTGTTAGTTCATCAGGACACGAAGATGGCTTCAGCGCGAAGGAGCTGATGGTTCACGCACCGACAGTGAATGGATGGCGATCATCCAGGTATGTCAAGGGGTTGGGACATGCATGCACTGGGTTTAAAATAAGTGGATAATGTACTGTGTCCAGTACCACCAAAAGAAGTTACTTTAATCCCATGGAATCCTTATCTTGGAGGGGAAAAAGTGCCTTGGTTACCACCTAAAGGCATCACATTGCGTGAAAAAAAGGTTCTTTGAAAGAAGGAAAGGGAATTGTTTGTATTCTTGTCAGTTTTGGAGTTTGCAGCTGCTTTGGCTTAGTATTAAAAATCCAGTCTTCTCAGCATATCCTCTAGACACGTATGGACACCTTAACACACCATGCGTGCAGTGAAGTGAAAAGTGTTTCTCCTCCTTGGTTTCTTTTCATGATATTTGTAATGCTGATGTAAGTGATAATGTTGGAAAGCTTTGTAATTAAATGTTACTCGAGTTGGAAGTGGAATCCTCTATAAAAGGATGATTCAGAAATTGTGTGTGTTTTCAGACTCTGTCAGTATCCACAGGAAATTGTTCTGCAGTTGGTGGAGAGATGTCGAATACGAAAGCTGCAGTTGCTTGCTCACCAGTACATGATTTCAAGCAAAATTGAGTTCTACATCAGCGAAAGCTTGCCTGAATACTTTGCTCCTTATCAGTCAGAGAGATTTCACAGACTAGGGTAAGTAAAACAGCTCTAAATGGTTTTATTACCTTAATCAAAATGTCTTCAGGAGGAAATAATGTGCAATAATATGGCTACAGTGTGCTGGAAGCAGCAAAGAGATTCTTTATTTGCTTAGGTGGGTAACAAAGCTGAAGATGTAGGTGTAAGAGACATGAATAGTATTGTCACTTCACAGCACATGTTTCACTTATGAGTTTTATACCTTAGCAAAGCCCTCACCTGAGGAGCAAAGATGCAGCTGTGTATTTGTACAGTTCCTCTGCTTACTTGTTACATTTTCCTTCTCAGTTATGTTCCTCTCTCAGACAATGAAAAGACTGATTTCAAAGCACGAGAGTTAAAATCTGTGTACATGGATGCAGTTGGCCAGTACTTGAAGCTGATTTTCCATAAAAATTATGTCAATAAATACAACTTATATGGTCAGGTGAGTTACAAGTCCTTACTTGGTAAACTGGATGACACTTCAGTAGTACAGAACAGGCAATGAAATCTCCTCCCTTCAATTATAGGAGCTAAAAATGTCAGTTGGATTTATATTTGGTTTGTTTTAACCAGAAAATACAAATAAGAGGTTCTAAGTGACTCAGGATCATGACCAAGTGCATGCAACTTATCCAGAACAAACAAATCGAGTGCCTGTTCCATTATTGCCTTTTGTCCTGGGTTGTAGAGAGCACCTGAAGCTCTGCTCTGAGGACAAAGGGCTTCCTCTGGGAATGGCTTTGTGGTCCTTACAAAGGCACTCTCAGTCTATAGGATCTGAGGTGATGTTAAGTGAAGGTATTATACAGCCACCCTGATACAGAAACAGCAAATACCTACCTCAGTTCTACAGTGAGTCTCTTTCCTTTCATCCCAGACCAGGAAAGGGAGCAACGATGGCTGTGCAATGTGGTCTGGAGACTTGGTAATAAATTTTTAATGGAGCATGAAGTACATTTGGCAGTTAGTGCTGTTCTTTGCTTCCATATCACTCTGGAGACCACCAGCTCTACTTTTTGTCTTTTTGTTCCACTTTTTTTGTTTCAGTTTTCATAAGATATGGAAAAAGTAATGACCTTATGCATTTACATTTGCTTTAAATCTATCCCAGGTTGCCCTAGTAGCTATAAACATTATTGGAGATCCAGCAGACTACAGTAATGACAGCACTAACAGTGTAAGTGCAAAGCAGCCCTGTCTTTTTACTGTTACTACATGTGTTCAGTTACAGGGTTCCTGGGGTAATGGAGTGCATCTTTCTTCTGCTGGTTTTGTGCTGTAGCAGAGCTGCCATGTGTTAATTATTTATTTTCTTTAATGTTTTAATGATGTTCTCAAGAATGGAGCCTGATATGTGGGTAGAAAAAATACAGTCATTTGGAACATTTGCACTTCCAGCCTCTCAGGATACCCCAAAATATATAACAAGGGTTATAATCTACATTGCTTATGTCAATTGTGGCAAGTCAGAATCTCTGTCCTGAACGTGCACTTGGTGTTGATGAATGCACACTAAGATATTTCTTCTTTCCCCTTGCAAAGCCTTCCAGGGAGAAGCTGATAGATCAGTACTTAGGAATTAAATCAGATGATCCTGCCTTAGATGGAACTTACCTCGGGTAAGGATGTTCTTCTGTGTATACCCTGGCAAAACGTCTGCTTGGACTAAAGTAGTTCTCAGTCCCTCTGTTTTGTTAGTTCCCTGCTAGTGGAAAGAGAATACAAACACTCAGCCTGGCTTATTCTGGGTGAACTGAAAGCTTAGTTTATTCCTTTTATATCTTCAGGAAATGCGACTCCATTTCACCTCTGGATGATCTGGCTTTTGACATGTATCAGGATCCAGAAGTCGCTCAGATAATACGTAGACTGGATGAGAAGAAGCGGGAAGCTGTCCATCACGAGCGCTATGATTATGCCAAGAAACTCAAACAAGCTATTGCAGACCTGCAGAAGGTATTGTGGAAAAGCTCTTTGTCTCTTAAGCCAAACAGTATTCCAGCAGCCTATTGGAGACCCTTGTGTTCATGTGGAATCATAACGGTTTCCAGTATGTTTTCAAAGAGTAATTCTGAGAACAGATAGTTTAGTTGAATAACTTTAATATAGGTACAGTAATGTGATTCCAAACTAGCCTGCTATGCTGTCTGCTAGGTAGGGGAAAGACTTGGGAGGTACGAGGTGGAGAAGCGCTGTGCTGTGGAGAAAGAGGATTATGATCTTGCTAAAAAGAAGAAACAGCAAATGGAAGCATATCGCCTGAAGGTGTATCAGCAGCTGGAGCTCCATGACCTTCTGGATGAAGAGCTGATGGTGGGTACTGCTATTCCTAATTCAGGAGGCTAGTGTAAAGAGAAGTGGCAGAGCAGCCTAATAGATTCAAAGAATAAGAGTTGGTACACTGGTATTTTATGACAAATAGGTGAGGATTTTAAATTTTCTATGTGGATTTCCCTAACCAAAGACTTGCATTTTACGAACATGATTAACTCTCCATAAAATACATTACATTGGACTGTTGAGGTCTCAAGCAAATGACATAAGAATCCTGAATGTTTTGCAGAATTAGAGAGCTACCTGATGCAGATGAGTAAGAAACTCTCCTACATTTTGAAGGGGTGTAACAGGTCAAGGCTGACCAGACAGAATTACTGTGATAAGATACATATAGCTTTATATTGTTCTTGGAACAGGAAGCTTTATCATCTCCTGACACTCATCCACACAGAATTATTTCCTAATTCACAAAGCTGCATCCAGTGGAAATGATTACACATCTCTGAGTGGGGTCTGACAGTTATCTGAAAGCACGAGAATCTTGGTGACTGTCAGAGCTGGGGCTGTGCCAATTCTGATTTTAGGACATTGTCAGCCTTGCTTTACAAAACCTTCCTTTTCTCAGGTTCGAAAACCATCTGAATTGCCTTTGGAGCCTATGACTTACACTGACAATCTTCAGCTCACCAAACCTGCAACTTCACCTCGTTGTGAGCACACAGAGCCCCCTAAAGGGGAGTCGTGGAGAGCAGAGCCTCTGCTGGAAGAGAGGTCAGCAGATCCCGCTTCTGCTGAGCCTGTTTTTCTCCATCAGTCCCCTTCTCCTCCTGAGACTCATCCCACAACCTCTAGGGAAGCGTTTCCCAAAGAAAATGTGAGTAGTGAACCTCTGTTACTGCAGAAGTCTGTCAGAGCAAGTGGTTGTGCATTCAGCCTTCAAAACAAGGGCTTTGTGGTTATTCGCATGGCTTATACATTACCGGAGATTGAGGCAAAAAGGGATTGATTTTATCTGATTTACAAACAGATGACTGGAAGCTAATAGACACTAAATGACTATTCAGGGCTTGTGTGTCCAATACAGTGGAAGCTGAATTCTGCTTGCTCCATTAGTGGCTTAATAAATCTCCGTCTGAGAGATCAGGTCAGGTGAATCTACAGTTGCAAGGGAATTTGTTGGAATGTGGTTGTGGAATAAGAGTCTT